AAAAGGAAAATCAAAACTTCTTGTCATTAAAAATATTAAAATGTCTAATAATAGATATATGATAAATTTGATAAAATTAAGACCTATATTATATCCCAATATCTATTATTAGATATCTTGACATTTTTAATACTAGAATGGTCTAATTTTGCCTTTTTCATATATATATATATTGATAAAATTACAAATTGTATTTATTACTAAAAAAGTATGTCAAATTTATTATATGACAATTGCCTTATATATAGTATATGAAGCAGCTACCCATAATATCAATATACAAAGATGTGCTTTATGTGAATAAATCAGTTAAGTGTTAAGAACCTTCTATGCTATAAGAAGTCAAAGGGATGCTGGCAGGCCAAAAGAGAAACCACCCTGTATGATTGTCCATAAACTCTAATTAAATGTACCAGCAGAACCAAACATTAGGAAAGGGCAAAGATAACGCTACAACATTCCCACCCACTATCGTGCCAAACGTAATTATCACAATCTAAATAAGTTGAGGTCGTTAACATCATTGAGATAATCTAGCCCAAGGCGTTTCAAAAGTATAGGTATTGGTAAAAAAGAAAAGAAAAGAAAAAAAAACTAAATTTCAAAGTGAAAGTAAGCGGGTATATATTTTAGTTTTTAAAAAATCGCTATTAATTTTAGTATTTAATTAGACAAATTAGGGTGTTTGTATAGATTATAAACAATAACTCTCCACCATCATATATCAACTATCAATTCTCAGCAGCATTTAAATAGTTAATCAATATACAATTTAAGTCTATAAAAGAATTATATATTTCTACTGTTTTTTGTATGTATATATATATGTGAAATTTCTTAAATTTCTAAAAAAAAATTAAAATATTTTTTGTTTTGTTTGAAGGTCTTGAAATCTCGTTTCTTCTACTGCATTTTATAACTTTTAAAACGCTTGGATATATAGGTGGTGAATGACCTCAGCTTATTTCTATTGTTAGGTATAATACAATCAATTTATCATTTATTGATTGGCTTGGTAATTGTCTAACATGAAATTAATTAAGGTCGTTGCGTGGTATATATATGTCAATCTTGAAGCCTTGGTCTCGCTTGCTATATATATATCATGTCTTGGTCCGGGGGTATTCTCCGTGTATCAATCATAGTCCTACCTAAAAATAATGGAGGGCTATAGCCATTAATCTCCTGGGGTATTCTTTTTTAAAAATAAGAACAATAAATGAAGCATTAAGTCCTTTTAACTCATCACCTGCTACTCTTATTGAATTCTTGACACAAGAGCGATGATGTCCTCCTTGATCTCATTCCAAAAAGCTTTTATGAAACCAAAATTAAAATATCTATCAGGTGTGGTCTTGAGTCTTTAGAACTCTCAAAATTCCAAATAGCATCCTCAAGTCTTTAGAACTCTCAAAATTCCAAATAGCATCCTCAATTTCTTCGTCCTAAAATGGAGCTACCAGGAAATTATTTTCTACTTCTGAGATTTTTTTTTCCCTAACAAAATGTCATTGAGCATAGTTCTCTTTTATTCTTCAACCTAGTTTAGTTTAGTTGTTAATTAGAGAACAACTACTGATAACTAACCATCAATATCTAATAATATTGATAAC